CGATAAACACTTTTTACGGACGTGGCCCACAAATCGGGCTGACGATTTTTCTAACTGATAATCCCAATGCGGAACGTAATGCATTGGAACTTTGTTGGCCAAAGGGTAACTTGATAAGAATTTTGTTTGATAGTTTAATATATATTGATATAAAGTTATTAATTAAAATTAATATTATGCAGGGATCCGGCTCCTATGCACGTTCCATTTTCTACAAGCGTTCTGGAGGTGATTTCATAACTCGAATCACAAGATTGATAAAAACGATCGAGCACATATTATGAAAAAAGTTAAAAGGATCTTATATACATCGTCAATTTCAGAAATAGGCACGCATTATAATGAATTTAAGCAAGATTTCTTTTATAAGTATCCGCAACTGCAACGTCACTTTGAACTTTTGTGAGAACAACGACGATCTTGAACTCTGTCATTTCGCTTAGGCCTACCTCTACGCAGTAATAACACAAATAATTATGTTGAGCATAGCTTCGGCATAATAAAAGATATTTACGAAAAATGGTTGCTTAGAATCGCACACAAGCACCCAGGAATTTTACGTATCGCATGACGGTTTTTACGTCCCGGATGGGAGTTGGTAAATGCAGACGCTATTCAAGAAACAAAGATAAAAAATGAATTTCTGGTATTTAATACGAAGACGAGTGGACTTTTTTATGTGATTAATAGTGATATCGGTGCTTGCTCATGTCCTATTGGAATGTCTAGTGCCCCTTGCAAGCATCAAGGAGCAGTCTCTGTAAAATTTCATCTTTCGATAGTTAACTTCTTTCCATCTTTGACACCGGATGATTGCATGACCTACGCATATATAGCACTTGGCGAGTAGTTTCTGAATCTAGTAAAATCTTGTATTATCCAAGTTTCATAAACCTTTGATTCTTATTTTTATTTTTTTTTTTGTTTTTAGGTTATGTTTCTGAAAATAAGTCTTTTTATGCATCGTTACACTCACAACCTGTATCACAAAGTCAAGAAACTTTACATATGGAAATGGAAATATCAAGCAATTCTTTGATTATAGAGTGAGTCGAAAAATTATTATTGAAACAAAAATTTGTAATGTTTTAAATTTAAATTATAATAAATACTGTACATTATTTATTTGTTTTATTTTTTTTTTTAGAGGATCTGAGGAACCAAATGAAAACGAAAGGAATAAAGAAACTGAGAAATTTGATAGTTCAGAATTCACATCACTTTTAGTTGTTAACTCTGATTATCAAAATGGTGGATCAACTTTACATGCCACATTAAATAAATTTAAGGATCGTTATATCGCGGCAAGAACAAAATCTATCTCCCGATTGTCTTCCTTTCTCTATGATATTAATCGCGATTTAGATCCAATGGTTCATGCCAAAAGTGACTCGCGCATAAGGGTTCAAGTAGAATCTATCAGAAGACGGAAAACAGAAATGGTAACCGCCTCTAAAAATAAAGCCAAAGAAACTTTAGATCCTCAAAATATTCCCGTCCGAAAAAAGAAAAAAAACGGGAAAAAAGCATAATTTGAACAATAGATTGAATAATCAGGCATAAAAGCTATTGTTATTGAGGATTTTTTTTATACGTAGAGGACGTCATATGATATGTTTGCATGATATCATATGCCATATGATATGGCATATCATATGATATTGTGATATGACAATTCATATAAGTCATATGAGTCATACGACATCATTGTCATTGCGTTAATTAATTGAAGTAAACAAATTTGATAAATATTATTTTATATTGTGACTCGACTCTAAGTATACAGTCATACCAGTAATTGACATTGTGGCTTAACCTGTCACAGATTACGGACGTGCTATGTACATATAAATAAACCTAATCATACCGATACGTTAAATTAATAAGCTACAATGTCTGCTTTCGTTTCGAAACGGTTATTTACAACAGTATCAACTAAGTCAATACTGCCTCACTATACTAAAAGATTACCTTTCAACTTACAACAATCTCTTTTTAAGTCGACGCTCGCTGATGCAAAACCTGCTGACATTAATGTAAGCTCACTCCATTTCTGATCTTTTACTAGAGATACTATTACAAATCTTGGCTACAAAAAATATCCTTTACCAGTATTTTCATATTCCTCGAATTTGTTATTTGCAGAAAATAACTTTTATCGTTACTTGTAAAATACATATACCAAAATGAATTAAAATTAAATGGTTAAACAGCATAGAAGACTTCAGGTCAAACTATCCGAAGTTTTAAAACCCCTAATTCCAAGCAAAGATCTTGTATTTGGGCGAAACTTTACCGATCATATGCTAACGATCGTATGGAATAGTAAAGATGGGTGGTCTGATCCAATTATCCAACCTTATGGCAAGATTTCACTTGAACCTAGTTCCATGGTATTCCATTATTCTTTTGAATGTTTCGAAGGACTAAAAGCTTATAAAGATAAAAATGGGAAATTACGATTATTTAGACCAGACATGAATATGAAGAGACTCAGGAGATCTGCTGCAAGACTTACATTACCTGTGAGTATAGGTTAATTTAGTTTGGGATGTGGTTGGTGTAAATGTTGAAATTTTGATCAGTCGAATCACGTCTTTATTATGATTTTATCCTATAAACCATTTAACTATTTAAACCAGGAATTCAATGAAGATGAATTGTTAGAGTGTTTAAAAACGTTGATCCGTTTAGAGGAACGTTGGGTTCCAGCTGAAAGAGGATTCTCATTATATATACGTCCTACTCTTATTGGTACACAAGCTTCTCTAGGAATAGGCCCTAATTCTAGAGCAATTCTATTTATTATTTGTTCTCCTGCGGGGCCATACTACAAAACAGGATTTAGTGCTGTTAAGTTATTATCTACAGTTGAAAACGTAAGAGCATGGCCCGGTGGAACTGGTGATTCTAAAATTGGTGGAAACTATTCTCCATGTGTTAAACCACAAATTGAAGCTGCCGAAAAAGGTTATCAACAAAATTTATGGCTATTTGGTCCTGATGATGAAATAACTGAAGTGGGCACGATGAACTGCTTTGTTCTTTTAGATAATAAGCATGGTGGTATGATACTATTTATCAACTTTTCATTTTGATGAAATTATATAGACATAGCACATTCTAAAATTGTTTACTATTTAGAAACTGAGCTTGTGACACCGCCCTTAGATGGTACCATTCTTGCTGGTGTGACTCGTGATTCAATATTACAACTGGCTCGGACGTGGAATGAGTTCAAAGTCTCAGAACGTAAGATTACCATGCACGAGGTAGTAAATGCTCTGAAAGAGGGCCGCTTGAGAGAAATGTTTGGTTCTGGCACCGCATGTATTGTCACTCCTATTAAAGTAATTCATTATCGTGGAGAAGATTTAAAAGTGCCTTTAGATCCAAATGATCCTTCAAGTAATGCAGGACCTGTGACTCGACGAATTTCTGACACAATAATGGGTATACAATACGGTGAAATACCCCACGAGTGGTCTGTTGTCTTGAATTAGATATTATGAAGGTTATTTCTTTTGGAAAATACTAATAAATTTGAACTGGTGTGTCAAGTATTTTGTTGTTATTTTAATAATTTAACAAAGGTCAACAGTTATATCTATCTAATTTTGTAAGGAGATATGCACTAAATTTATTATCATTTGATTATCCCTTAAACTGTAGGCTTTTCCAGGCAAATTTGTCTGGAAAATTATCATAAATATGGTTATGATCTATTTTTTTTAAAT